AGATGTGATCGTATCCGACAATGGCTCTCAATTCACCTCTTCCCAATTCCAGAATTTCTGTCAACGGCTAGCCATTAAACACTTACGCTCGCCACCATACCACCCGCAATCGAATGGGCAGGCGGAAAGGTTTGTGGATACGTTTAAAAGAGCACTGCTCAAGTCAAAAGGGGAGGGGACGCCAGCCGAAACGTTACAAAATTTCTTGTACGTCTATCGGACAACACCAAATGAATTGTTACCGGAGCAAAAGTCCCCAGCTGAAATCCTGATGGGAAGAAGATTGAAAACCATCCACAGCCTGATGCATCCGACCAATGCACTCTCATCAGTAGAGACAAAGCAGCAAAGACAATCCGCTTACGAGGTGGGATGCCCTGTGTTTGCCCGCGACTACAGAACGAACCATGGTCCTTGGGTAGAAGCGAGAGTGGTCAGAAGGGTTGGTCGAGTTATGTACGAAGTAGAGGTAGGAGGTGATAAATGGTCACGTCATCGGAATCAGATACGCAGACGGCTAGCCCCAGATCGCCCATCAAGAGCAGAAAGCCTTCCCCTTGACATCTTGCTTGATACCTTCAACCTACCGAGAGCCCCGCCACGAGAAGAAACTCAGCAGCAAGCTGTTCTTCGTTCCCGAAGGTATCCCCTCAGACAGCGGCGAACAATAGTCAAGATGCAAGTCGACCCCAGGAGAACAAGCTATTAAAAAGGGGAGGAGTGTTGGGGATGTTAGATCCCCAAAATTCGCTTGATAATGCCGTATTTTGGTTTTCACGTTTCGCCAGCATGGGCTGATCAGATGACCTTGAGATTTCAATTCCCACCAGGAAAATCAATGGCTGTGATTGGCTACAGTGTATTTTAGTATGCTATTTTCTTAACTGTCTCAAGGACGTTGTTATGTTGTATAAATAAACGAGAGTTGTATGCTTGATTGTACTGGGATTGCTGGGTGCTTGTAGAATATACTTTCTACGCTTACCAAGACTTCTGTTTTACCGTTTGGATTCAAGGTAGCCTTCCTGGAAGCTGGTAAAAGTATCGTTCGCGTTTATCGACTAAGGTAAACTCGTAATAGCATCAAGCATCCTAAGTGACGAACATATCAGGTAGGTTCGAGAAAAACATGCATTTACAAAAGAAGCGTATTCATTGCTGTCCTCTAATACACGTATTTTATTCCTCAAAACATCCAGATCACCCCATAAATCCGTATCTGACATTTCTCTCTTTGGCTGTAACTTAAGGGCGACATTCTTCTGCAAACCACTACATACTACTTATAAGCTCCTGAGTAAGTAGTACACATCACATAGTAGCAGTGTATTTGATTCGAAAATTGTTCACATATGTATGTTCTCCCATCAAATTATCTTCACATAAAGTATACAGAGTTTTGAAATGTGTCACTAAATACTGAACTCAGTAATTTTGTGTTTTTATAACCAAACATGTCATCTGTAAGAAAAATTGCATGTACGTTGGTTTTTTTGAAAAACACATCAATAAGTTGCATTTACAGACTTTTACTGAGACAGTGACTTGGAATCCACTGTTCCCTATTCACATTTTCATTATTTTTTTTATTCAATGAAACACAGTTATTATACTATTTTGTGAATGAATCTTTGTCCAAAACACTGATCGATAACTTAATGGTATGAAAGTCTTATGTCCATTTCTTGGCAAGCTTGTGGATGTGCAATTCTGAGAAGTCCTATATGAGGACGAAACAGCTATTGATCGTTTTCAAGGTCTCAATTGCTGTCTAACTAAAATCAGTTTATGATTTAACTTTAAATGTGACTTCTTTATCATCATACCTCAGGCCAACACACACACACACACACTTTTTGAAAATACCATAAACTCAGAGTTAAAATTTTAAGTGATAAAACCGCACTATGACTGTTAATTAAATAAATGATACGTGAATGATTTAAATGTCAAACATATCCAGTTTTTGATTTCAATTTCATTCACCAACTGAATCCAGTTTCCCAGTGATATTACATATATTGAAAATATAGAGAGTTTTCTGATTTTCACCGTTGAAATCACAAAATGGTCTAAACTGGACAACCAGTGGAGACCTGGTGTTAGGTTCGTCACCAAGTATGCTCGAAACTATTACGGGTTCACCTCAGTCGATAAAAACAAGAACAAGACAATGAACCTGTGTCCAGGTAGGCTACCCTGATCTGCTGACTAATGAAAAAACTTGATGTAGAGTAGAAAATGTATTCTACAAACACCCAGCAATCACAATACAATCAAGCACACAACTCTTGTTTATTTATACATCATAGAAACGTTCTTGGGAGCGTCACAGAAATAGCATAAGTGTATGATGGCTAGCTGTTGACAGTGAGTTTGAAATTCGGTAGAGGTAAATTGAGAGCGGTTGTCAGATACGATCACATCTGGTATGTCATTTCGCGAGAAAATTTCTTGGAGGAGCTGTTTTGTCTTAGTTGTCGTGGGCGGCATTGCGGGGTTAATTTCTGGCCATTTTGAGAAGGCGTCGACTACAACTAAATACATAGTTCCATTGATTAGGCCTGCAAAATCTTACGTGCCTACATCAGTTCAGGATGCTATACCACATTAGCACAGAGAAGCAACTGTCAGTTCAAATCCCAGGTTGGTGGAGAATATTGGGGATCGAAGATATTGGAGAATGATGATATTAAATGCAGTTACTCAAGGTCTGAGGACAAAGTCGTACTGCTGACTGTAGAGAGGTGTGACAGCAGTAAGGTGTTTCTCTCGGACAACCAGCATCTGTAGCGATGCTGCCTTCTCACAAGGAAGGAAGGAGTTAGGAAAGGTTGACCC